TTGCCTAACATAATATACTAAGTTAGAGAAATTAAACTTATAATGATACACTTTTATGGAAAAGAGTTATTAGATTAAACCATGAATTTAATGGAGAAGTTTAGAATCTTTACTTTTTATTTATTATGTATTATAGTTATATGTAATTTTAGTGAAAATTATTTTTAAATACTTGAAATAGGTAGGTACTGAGCTTTTGTTACAAAAGACCATCCTTAATAAAAAAACAAAAATATAAATAAAGTCGCTGCCATCAAGTTCATGTCGACTCATAGCAACCCTATAAGACAGGGTAGAACTGCCCTTATGAGTTTGCCAAGACCATGACTCTTTACAGGAGTAGAAAGCCCTGCTTTTATCTATCTTTAATCAAAATTAAACATTAACAACGAAAAATTAATGATAAGTTATAAGTTCTGACTTTGATGTACAATTGTTATTGTAAAGGTGACCCAACTATAGTTTCGGAACCTATTAATATTTAAAAGATAAACTGGCATTCTCACATACCATTATGTTGGTAGAATTTATGTTTTTCTACTATTGTGTTATAGTTAACATTTTTATTGATTTTAGAGAAATTGACTTTTTAATGGGACTGCTTAGAAATGAAGTTTTTGTATAGGGTGGAAATACACACTTGTCAGATTTAGTTATTTATTATACAAATCTTCAAGCGGGAAAACTTAGGAGTAGAAAAGCCTTATTTTAGTTGCTGAATACCGTATATACAGTGGTTTATAACCATTAATGTTTTAAAATGAATAAATAGAAATTGGTGAAGATTTTATATAATTAGCTGAAAATTAAACATCACAGTATATATGAACTGAAGAAACCAGCAGTCTTAAGATGTCATTTTAAGATATAATTTCCACATAGTTTCTGGATATGGTCATTCTAAAAATTCTAAAGAGACAACTTACTAGACACCGCTATTTCTAGGGTAATTTTTTTGTAGCACCCCTGGTGGCACAATGCTTAAGTGCTCACTGAAAGATTGGTGGTTCAAAGATGTGGGACTCTGCTTCCGTATAGATTTACAACCTGAGAAACCTTATGGGGGAAGTTCTACTCTATCTTATACTAACCAGACGTCTGAATCAAATCTATTATTGTATTGGGTTAGCGAGTGAATAACTCCAGTTGGTCAAACTGTCATCACGTTGATGCCGACTCATTCTGACCCTGTAGGATACAGTAGTGCTGCTCCTGTAAGTTTCCAAAGCTGTAACTCTTTATGAGAGTAGATAGCCTAGTCTTTTCTTGAGGAACAGCTGGTGGTTTTGGACTGCTGACCTTGCAGTTAGAAGCCCAATGCATAACCACTATACCACCAGGGCTCCTTGGTCAAGGGATGGAGAAAAGAAAATTTCTCGTGAAAAACATCAACTACCACCCTACCTAAAGCCTTTATATAGCATTTACTTGATTAAAAATAATGGGTGTAGATGTTTATATAGGACAATGTTTGGAACAAAACAGCCTAGTTGCTAATATGGAGTACTTGTAAGGTTTTTCTCTTTAAACTCTAAATTGGTATTTAATATATACATTTAATATTACTATGATTATTACTGTTCTTACTGCATTTAATATTAATTTCTAGATTTAATATCTGCATTTGTATCTCAGCAATGATCGAGCTAATACCAAGGGCTCAAACTGAAAGAAAATGTTTAGAAAATGATGATGATGGCAACATATGTGCAAAGGTCCTGATATATGGATTGTTATAAGAGCTGTAAGAGCCCCCAATAAAATGATTTTTTTTTAAAAAAGAAAATTTGAAATGTTTTTTAGATTAAATCATCATCTGCTTTGACTTTAGTACTGACTATGCATTTTGCTAACAGAGAATTTTATGTAGTTACTTGCTTCAGAAACAAAATTAGATGTGTGAGCAGTAATTGGAAGAATTTATTTGATCTTTTTGTTCCAAACTAGAAACTAAACTTTGTAGATAGAAATCTAAAATAAGCAGTCTAAATTACCATTCTTCCTCAGCATTATATCAGTTGTCCCAGCCCCAATTGTTTTTGTTTTTTTTTTAGAGAATTGGCATGACATACTTTTTCGACAATAATACCCAAATTAAGAGGAACCCTGGTGGCACAGTGGTTACATGTTGGACAGTTAACCACAAGGATCTCAGTTTGAAACCACTAGCCGCCCTGTGCAATTAAGACAAAGCTTTCAATCCCATAAAGAATTCCCATCTCAGACGTTCTCACAAGAGCATTTCTACCCAGCCCTCTGGGACTCCTAGGAGTTGGAATCAACTCAATGTTGGTGATTTTTTTGGTTTTAAAAATCTCACAGTAGAATCACCTTTTTCTTGAATGTTGACTACACATTGCTTTGTAGTTCCTAAACCTGTATTCTCTAAGAAAACAGAGGAACTTTGCTCTGAATCTTAAGAATTTTCTCTGTAAATAAACATTGTTTGTACTTAAGTTTCACTTTGATTTTTAGTCATTCAGTGAATCACTCAACAAATACTTGATTTGCCTACTTTATGCCAGGCGCTTTTCTGGGTGCTCAACATTCTGCGGTGAACAGAACATACAGAATCTTACGGTGTTTTGTAGGGCTGATTTATAAAATTATTCTTTTGTCTTGTATTATTTTTTTATTTGGGGATAATATCTTGGGAGAAAGGCAAGACTCTACTGCTAAGAGTTACAGTCTTTGAAACTCATGGGGCATTTCTACCCTATTCCGTAGGGTCACTATGAATCAGAATCAACTTATGGCAGTGAGCTTGATTTTGTTTGTTTTGAAGGGTAATTTCTTAATAATATGAGCCCTAGCGACATAGTGGGTTACCAGTTGGGCAGCTAACTGCAAGGTCAGCAGTTTGAAACCAGCTCCTCTGCAGGAGTAAGATGAAGCTTTCTGTTCATGTAAACAGTTACAGTCTTAGCAACTCATAGGGGCACATCTGCTCTATCCTATAGCATTACTCTGGATTTGAATAGACTCAATGACAATGAGAGAGATATGATGGTAACACATATTTATATTTTATTGTACCATGTGAAAAAATTGGTAGTGTAGCCCTACTTATTTTTCAGTTTGTTGAACTATGGAAACTTGAATATTGCTATGATGTTGGGAGCTATGCCACTGGTATTTCAAAAACCACAGGGTTGCCCGTGTTGAACTGGTTTTAGCAGAGTTTTAAGACTAAAATAGACTAGGAAGAAAGACCTGATGATTACCTCTGAAAAAATTGTCCATTGAAAAGCTTATGAATAGCAGTCAACATTGTCGGGTATAGTTTCAGAAGATGAGACCCTTAGGTTGGAAGGACTCCAAAATAGGACTGGGGAATAGCTGCTTCCTTAAAGTAGAGTTGACTTAAAAGATGTAAATGCATTAAAATTTTTAGGACCTTCATTTGCTTATGTATTACAACTCAAAATGAAATGGTTACAAGCATCTATTAATATTTACAACATGGGCTCTCTATGAAGTATGAATATAGGAAAACTGGAAATTTTCAAAATGAAGCAGTACATACAGATTAATATCATAGGCATTAATGATCTGGAATGGACTGCTATTGGCCATTTAGAATCAGACATTCTTATGGTCAGCTAACTATGTTGGGAATGACAAATTGAAGAGGAATGAGGGTATGTTTATTATCAAAAAGAACATTTCAATATCTATCTACTAGAGCAATAGGGACCTGTAGGATGTGCGCCTTTCAGACACAAAGGCTGAGGACTAAAAGGGTATAAGTGCTGTTAGGTAAGTGGGTCCTGGGATATGGCAATCGGAAAGAAAAGGGGATTGGGCTGAGGGATTATAATAGGTCCTGCCTGCTCTTTAACAGAGAGCTGTTCATCTACTTTGAGTCTGGATACAAGTTAGACTTGGAACTATTTTTAGGGTATTGCACTCTCTTTTTTTTGGGGGGGGGTGTCTCTCTATATAAGATAAGCAGGATAGAGGGAACCGATTACATGGAACTGTGTGTGACCTCCTCCCTGGGGGACAGACAACCGAAAAGTGGATGAAGGGAGACGTCGGACAGGGCAAGACGTCGGACAGGGCAAATGACAAAATACCCATTTATAAACTATCAAGGGCTCATGAGGGAGGGGGGAGCGGGGAGGGAGGGGAAAAATGAGGACTTAATGTCGGGGGTTTAAATGGAGAGAAAATGTTTTGAGAAATGATGTACAAATGCGCTTTACACAATTGATGTGTGTATGGATTGGGATAACAGTTGTATGAGCCCCTAATAAAATGTTAAAAAAGGAAAAAAAATAAAGAGAGAAAGTAGAATGGAAAAAAAAAAAGATAAGCAGGATAAGCAATTCTAACCGATGGTTGGGGCAGGGTGCATGGAAGGGAAGGAGTCAGGGAGAGGTAAGTGGTGAGGCAATAGTGACAGGGACAGGGGTATAGCAAGGTTATAAAATTGATGTTGAGGAGGATGTAGCGATCCTGGTCGGTTCTGATCATTTGAAAAGTGTCTAAGGAATTACTGAGAGGCGAACGATGGATAAGCATTATAGTGGGGCAGGAGAAAGGAAAAAAGAAAAGGAGGAAAGAAGAAAGAAAAAAATTTATATAGAGAGGTATAAATATAGATATATAACTATGTAAATATATAATCATATAAATATAGGTGTTTTTGTCTATACATGTACATATATAAATACAATAAGGAATCAAATGGACTTTGGGCCTCGACCAAAATCTCACCTAAGTACAAGAACAGTTTGTTCTAATAATGTAGCACTGTATGATACTCATTTTCCCCACCTGATCACTGAAGACAAAATGGGTGCATAAGCAAATGTGAAGAAACCTGATGGTGCTCGACTATTAAAAAATATAGTGTCTGGGGTCTTAAAGGCTTGTACTCAAACAAGTGGCCATTGAGTGGGGGAGTAACAAAGCCCATACGGTTGAAGTATTAAAGTATGAAACATTAACATTTTATCTTCCTGATTCTGTATTTTTTTTTTAATGCTTTTTAGGTGGCAGCCAATGCACACATTCCTCCAGACTACCTCCTTAAAATTTGTGAGCGAATTGGTCCTTTACTAGATAAGGAGATCCCTCAGAGCGTTCCTGGGGTACAGACATTACTAGGTGTAGGTCGGCAGTCTTTGTTACGAGATGCTAAAGGTAAGATTTTCACTTGTTTAAAGCATGTTGCTAAATAAAATAGTGAAAAGGACAATATTGTTTTATTAAGGAAATATTTTCATGTCTGCCTATTCATTTGCATCTGGTATCTCCTATCTTGCTAATGTTTATTTTTGTTCATTTTTAATGCCTGGGTAAATTTTTAGGGATCATTAGGGGCCTTTTTTAAAAACAAACAAACAAAAAAACAGAATAATGTGGAGATAAGGTAAATTCCCTTTGATTCTGTGGAGTAGAGATTGCAGATCATACTACCATCAAGTCAATTCCGACTCAGACACCCTGTTTAGTGTTTCTGAGCCTCTTAAGTCTGCACAGGAGCAGATAGCCTCAGCTTTCTTTCATGGACCAATTTCTCCCATGGTTTGAACTAATGACCTGGTTAGCAGTCCAACACTTACCACACAGCACCACCAGGGCTACTTGTCATGCTGATTAGTGCAGTATAAATGTTTTAAACATTCTTATTCTATTATAATGCTCTTATGCTTTGTGAGTCCTGATAATAGCACCCTAACCATATTTAGCATTATTTAGCATTTTATCTCACACAAATGAAAATTATAGGTTTACTTTTTAAATTGAAAAATATTTAAACAAAAATACTAACCCATTAGGAACTGTTTCATAACAATTTCTTTACAGCAGTGTTTTTCAATTTACAGATCTTTTTACCACAAATTTATATGGAATGTTAATATGTAAAATATATAAAGTGTTATTTTATAAACAAGAAACTATGAAATTAGGGGTTAAGGCTGCATTTTTGGAGTGATAATTATCTCTAACAGCCAGTTGCATTCGATGTCTTATTTTATTAGTATTGTGTTTTATTTTAAATGCTGATTCACAAAGAGAAATAGTTCCATAAATGATATTGGTTTTTAAGCATCTCATCTTGTAATTTAAGGAAAAAATAATTCAAATAATGTAGAAAGTTTGAAATGAATTATAATAGAATGTTTTGTTTCAAAGCTGACTACCTGAAAATACTTACTTCTTTGACATAAGCCTAAATGTCAAAGAAAAAGCACTCACAACTATTTATAGTCAGGGATCATCTGATCGGAAGCCCTGGAAGTGCAGTGGTCAAAGTGCTTAGTTGTTATTTGAAAAGTTTGAACCTACTGGATGCTTCATTGGAAAAGATGTGGCAATCTGTTATAAAAAACATTTACAACCTTGAAAGCCCTATGGGGCAGTTCTAACCTGTCCTACTGGATTGCTTTGAGTCAGAATTGGCTTGTGGGCAAGGGTTTGGTTTGTTATCATCTGATTTGCAGTCTTCTTATCTGTAATGGCACAACTATCAGGTACCTCATGACATGAACATGCACCAAGTATAATTGGGTCTGAATTTTGCTAGCATATTTGTGTGATAGTAGTATACTTGCTTATACAATTTTATATATGTAAACCTAAAAATCAGTGTGCTAATTTGGGTATGTTGGAGAAACAAATCCACAGAAACTCATGGATAAGAGAGTTTTATATAAAGGTTAAGTGTGCATCAAGAAAACATCCCAATCCGGTGCAACTCAAGCCCACGAGTCCAACAGTAACCCATTAACCCATATGTCTGACACCAATGCACACAGTCCTCCTCCATCTCACAAAACACACTATGACGCCGACTGCAGGAGGAAAGCCAAGTCAGTGGATGTTTAAGCATCTCAGCGCTAGCAGGGGTCTCCACACGGTGCTCCAGCACCCAGGGCTGCATCAGGGTAGGTCCATGTGGCTTCTCCTCAGGGATGTCTTGCAGGAAGTGAGCCTTTCCAGCTAAAGCAAGGAACTGGCTAAGGCAGCTGTGCCCTGGTCCGATCATCAGAAACAAGAGACCCGAGAACTAGAAAGGCCAGGCTCACTGAGCCATTTATCCCTTCAATTAACCCCACATGTGTTTATTGGCCAGGTTGGCCCAATAAACTAACAATAAACTAACTACCTCAATCAAAGAACTCCCACTGCAAACTAGAAATCTTACTAATCCATGACACATTTACCTAAGACTCAGTTATATGCAAAGAAATAAAATATCTTGGTGATATGTTGAGATGTTGGCAGATACTAGTCATAGTTTAGTTTCTAGCCTATACATGTTATTTTTATTCTCAAATATATGCATGCTATTTTTATCATGGCTCTAAAAGTTAAAAATATATTCAACAAATGAAATTTGAATCAGCCCTTTGCTTTTGAAGCACAGTTAAGCAAAACATTGCTCTATTCTTTGACTAACTTGTGATATTTTTGTATAGACTGTAAGAGTACACTATGGAATGGGTCTGCTTTTGCAGCTCTGCATAGAGGCAGGCCTCCAGAACTACCTGTAAATTATGTGAAACCTCCAAATGTGGGTAAGTAATATGTCTGTGAGTTGTACACATTTTCTCGATTCATTCCTTCCAAAGCTCACTAGAAAGTCAAAATAGGTACCAGAATCCAATTTGAAGTATAAATAAGCTGATTATATTATTTAAGACTTTCGTGGTTAGTCCTGATTTATAAAGCATTTTTATTTAAAAGTCAAGATTTTATGAGAATTGGCCTTTTTATTTCTTTCGTTTTTCAAAACCTTTATTTTTTTTGCAGACACGTTTGCTTTTTTATGTTGCACAGGTGTTTTTAGCCATATGGCAGTCTATTTGCATATCTCTATGTTTAATTTCCCAGGGATTTTATAGGAAACTAAAAATAGGCAAAGATAACTTTCAGAAGTAAACAAAAATATATTTTCCTTATGCCTGTTGCTAAACTTATGATGATGTTATTTATATATCTTATATGTCTTAAGACCAAACAGTCCCTTCCCATTCATAGTTTTCTTGGGATTACGCTGACCAGACCATTACTAAGAAATTACAAAATATATTTTATACTGAAGTTAGTTTGCACAAGATATGTGAAAAACCAAAAAGAGATGGATAAATAATTGCCATTCTGCTTCCTGTTTTTTCACTCTAAAATATTATATAATTTTATAAAGGGTCTAGAGAGTATACGTTAAGTTTTGAAAGGGAAATGTTTCAAATGAATAAATAACTTTTATTTTTCTAAGCATATTTATTTTCATAATGCATAGAATTTTTCCCAAGATTAAATAAATTGAGGCTATAAATTAAAAAGACATTTAGCGAGGATCATTGATTAAAAATACACCAAGGTTCTTAAGAGAAATAGGATACCTGATAATACTCTCTGTCTTCTAAATGTTACTAGCAAGAGTGGTCTACTTGATTGGGTCTGATTGGCTGCTTTTTCTTTATTTTTGACTGTTAAGAAGTCTTCATTCTTTTTGGATGCATGTACTTTATCAGACACTTGTTTGCAAATATTCTCTCCCAATCTTCAGGTTTGCCTTTTCACTTCCTTAACATTATACTTTGAGGAAAAGAAGTTTGTGCTTCCTAATTATGTTCCATATATACATTTTTCCCTAAAGTCTATACTTTTTTGTTCTATAAAAGATATATTTGCTTATTTTAAAATCACAAAGAATTTCTACTGAATTTTCTTCTAGAAGTTTTAGAATTTTTATGATTTATATTTAGAACTGTTTTGAGTTACTTTATGAAGTGTAATATAAGGTTTAGGTTTAGTTCATATTTTTGCAGCTGGATAGTTAGTTATTCTAGTGTCATTTTTTTAAATGGCAAACCTTTACCAACTGAATTCCCATGTCACATTTGCTAAGACTGTTGCCCATATGTGTAATTCTATTTCTGGATTCTCAGCTATGTGTGTTCTCCAGCTTTACTCTTACTGTTTCAAAATTGTTTAGACTTTTCTAGGTCCTTATCCATTTCCATATAAATACCTACATCAGCTTCTCAATATCAACCAAAGAAAATCTGTTGGGTTTTAATTTAGGATTGCATTGATTCTGCAGACCAATTTGGGGAGAACTGCCTTCTTGAAATTGAGCCCACCAATCCAGGAACATAGTATATGTTTCCAGTTATTTAGATCTTTAATTTCTCACAATAGTGTTTTGTAATGTTCATTGTACCAGTCTTGAGCATCTATTATGAAAATTTTCCTTAAGGATTTCATGTTCTTTAGTGCTATTTTATGTTGTATTTTTTGAATTTGAATTTCTAACTGCTCTTTCCTACTAAATTGAAACACAATTAGGATTTTGAAGTTTGACAATTCTAAATTGTGAGGGTGGTGCATGACCAGGCAGGCTTTGTTCTTTGTACATGGGGATGATAAGAATCTGAACTGACTCCATGACTCCTAAGAACAAAACAGTTACTTACTAGAACTATTAGGTGCATTCAGAAATTTCATGGGAAAATGTCCATTATCTTTCAATTCCATTTTTCCACGAAATTTTTGAAGCACCTGTATATTAGCTTTTTTTTGAGATTATGATTTTCTGTATATAAAATTTTCGGCAAATAAAGACAGATTTACTTTACTTTCCAATCTTGTTAGCTTTATATTTCTTTTTCTTCTATTAATGAACTAGCTAGTACTTCTAGCGTAATGATGAGCAGAGCTGTGATACTGGGCATTTCTTTTCTCATAACAAATCTTAATAGTGTGTAAAGCAGGCAGTCTTTCATCTTTCAATACAACCGTAAACGCTATATCACAGCTTAAGGATGTTTCCTTAAATATCTTCTTGTATAGAATTTTTATTGTAAGTGGCTGTGTCCGTATTACTTTTTAATTTGTCCAGTATATTTAGAATTACACAGTAATATCTTGGGGCTCATTTCAATTGGTATTATGTAAAACAGTGCTATCCAATAGAACTTTCTGGGGTGATAGAGATGTTCATTTTTTGATTTGTAAAACAGCTATTACCCACATGTGTCTATTTTAACAACTAAATTTTGAATTGTATTTAATTTTAAGCTATTTAAAATTCACCAGCTACACGTGGGTAGTGTATATTGTATTGGACAGCATAGTTCTGGAACGATACACTGATAAGCTATTTTATAAATATGTGCATAACTTGGTAATGTGTTGACTAATGACTCATATAACTTTGAATGCTATCTATATTTAGAAACTACCTTTAGCTTTTCTTATTTTGAGTTTAGTAATAGTGTATGCAATTCTTTACTATTCTGTGTGCAATTAATCAACTATGCTAGTTAGTAATTTAATGAAATGAAGATAAAGTATCATTAAGATATTATTTGGGATTTAATTTGCAGATTCCACTCACCACACTATTGTAACACTTAAAATGTATGTGTATTCAAGTTTATCTACAGTGAATCCCCTAAGGCAAGAGTGAAAATGCTTCATTATTAGATCTCTAGGGTCTTGTCATTTCATTAACTGTTAAGTAACAAACGTGTGCTACATGTGACCAAATTAAATTAGCTAAGAAATTCTACTAAATTCAAAATAATATAAAACTAAATCAAAACTCAGTGAAGTATTGTGGCATGTATAGTTAATATTTGTAGAATTGCTTGAGATCTTGCACTGTCTTCATTAAGGATTGTTATTTTGTGATCCTTTGAAAATTAGGATCTGTTTGGAAAATTCTGTGGTAGTTATACTAGGATTTGAAATTGAACAACAACTTTTTCTGCTTGGCTACTTTGTCATTTCAGGAGTAAATTTTTTTCTTTTAAAAATCATTTTATTGGGGGCTCATACAATGCTTATCACAATCCATACGTACATCCATTGTGTCAAGCACATTTGTACATTTGTTGCCATCATCATTCTGAAAACATTTGCTTTCTACTTGAGCCCTTGGTATCAGCTCCTCATTTTTCCCCCTCCCTCCCCGGCCCCTCTCCCTCACAAACCCCTGATAATTTATAAATTATTATTATTTTTTTCATATCTTACACTGTCCAACATCTCTCTTAACCCCCTTTTCTGTTGTCCATCCCCCAGGGAGGGGGTGTTATATGTAGATCCTTGTGATTGGTTCACCCTTTCTACCCCACCTTCCCCTTCCCCTCCTGGTATTGCTACTCCCATTATTGGTCCTGAGGGGTTTATCTGTCCTAGTTTCCCTGTGTTTCCAGTTCTTATCTGTACCAGTGTACATCCTCTGGTCTAGCCAAATTTGTAAGGTAGAATTGGGGTCATGATAGTGGTGGGGAGAAGCATTAAAGAACTAGAGGAAAGTTGTATATTTCATCAGTGCCATACTGCACCCTGACTGGCTCGTCTCCTCCCTGTGATCCTTCTGTAAGGGGATGTTCAGTTGCCTACAGATGGGCTTTGGGTCTCCACTCCGCACTCCCCCTTATTCACAATGATATGATTTTTTGTTCTTTGATGCCTGATACCCGATCCCATCAACACCTCGTGATCACACAGACTGGTGTGCTTCTTCCATGTGGGATTTGTTGTTTCTCAACTAGGTGGCCGCTTATTTATCTTCACACCTTTAAGACCCCAGATGCTATATCTTTTGATAGCTTGGCATCATCAGCTTTCTTCACCACATTTGCTTATGCACCAGCTATGTCTTTGGCGATTGTGTCGAGAAGGTGAGCATCATGGAATGCCGGTTTAATAGAAAAAAGTGTTCTTGCATTGAGGGAGTACTTGAGTAGAGGCCCACTGTTCATCTGCTACCTTAATACTAAACCTATAAATATATGCACGTAGATGTATTTCCCCATCGTCATTTATAAATATATTTACATAAGTACATGCCTGTATTTAGACTTCTATAAATGCCCTTTGCCTCCTAGTTCCTTCCTCTATTTCCTTTCACTTTCCTCTTGTCACACTATCATGTTCAGCCTTCATTTGGGTTTCAGTAAATCCTCTTGGTTACATTGCCCTTGATCAAGCCCTACCAGGCCTCCTACACCCTCCTTACCATTGATTTTGGATCACTTGTTGTTCCCTTGCTGGGGTTTTTAACACCCACTTCCTTTTACCCCTCCCCCTCTCCCATGGCCCCCTGGAACTGTCAGTCCCCTTGTTTTCTCCTCCAGATTGTTTATCCTGCCTCTCTTATCTAGATAGACCTGCAGAGTTAATAGTATGCCCAAAAACAAGACAGCAAAACAAAGCAACAAAGAAAACAACAACAACAACATAAAACCAATGACACAAAAAGAAAAGCCTGTAAATAGTTCTAGATCTGTTTGTTGACCTTTAGGAGTGTTTTCCAGTTGAATCTGATGGGTGCCACACCCTGGCCCCAAAGTCTATTCTTGGTATTCCCTCTGGACTTTGTTGCTCTGTTCCCCTTGCGGTTTTGTTGCACACCCTTTGTGTTTTGCCTCCGTGTGGTGGGGTCAGATCGGGCGCAGTTCCCACACTGTGTCTCCAGTATTTTTCCCCATAGGGCTATGGGTCAGTGAGTGATGTTGTGTCTCGTAGTGGGCATGGCCATGTGGTCCTCTCTGTGCAT